TGTTTTCGGTCCTTAATTGCATGTTGTCGCCATCTACTGCCTGAAACCATCGTCCTTTGCGGGCGGGACGTCGCACGCGACGCCCAGCAGCGCGGCAAATTACGATCCTCTTGTCACATACCCCAAGCAAACTGCGACAGGGTCATATCGATCAGAAGTTGGCAAAATGCCAGGTCAGGACTCACCGCCGCGCCACGCGAACAGGTCGCCGCGCGCGGTGACCTAGTTTCGAGCGCGGCGGTGACTCCTGGCCGTCTCCCGGCTCTCTCGATCTCGAATGGTGAGAGCGAGATGACGAGTTGATTCCAACAAGTGACTACTCGTTCGACCACGCCCTTTCTTCGCCTTATGCACGCACAGAATCGCTTCGGTACGGGGTACTATGTAAGGTGGAGGGGAGGTGGTCTCTTCTTTTTCCTTCACTTTTATGTTTGTTCTCATCTTGTCATTAGTATTTCAGCTACACGACTGAACACTTTTTAGCGCGGGGCGTGCCATTAAGGAACATTCCGTCATTTCAAGACATAGGTAACGGGGTTCAAAAACAAAGATGTATGTGCCAGTTGACTCACCACTGAATGAAGAATGAGACAGAAACTTCCTCGTTCTCGCAGCTGTTCGAGATCATTGAACGAGTATAAGAGATTCGTGATCAATTGCCTGACGAGAGAGGCCATCATGCACTGAATAGTGCAGGAGAGCGATAAAAACATGCGCTGCCCAAAGCACCGTTGATGTTATCAGAATGGCAAGGCCCGACATATTGGGCCTATTGAGTGGTAATGGACCTGATTCTTGAGTTTCCATTGTGCTGCTCGCGAATTTACATGTTTGCGTGCAGCGCAGCCTCTGCGATTGCAGAGCGGATCGTACTGTGCAGTCATCCCTACAAACGATAGGGCGTGGGACGTGGCGCGGGATGAGGTGCAGCCACGGCGGCGTTCTTTCAACAGTGATGCCATCCTGAACCCGTTGGTGGAAAATCTGCCCTGGCTGCTTTCCAAGCAACGCCACCACGCGTTCTATAGTTTGGATCACGACTACAAAATCAGGAGGTTCTTGAACCAGGTAATCGTGCTCTGAGCCTTTAAGCAAATTCCACGCTGGCAGTGTAGGCGGGGTTACTTGCACCACTTCATTTCTCACGTTTGGTTTCCGAATTTCCGGTCAAGAACTTTCGGAGTTTTCCTTTTTCTTCAATGTGGTTCATTTTCAGGATGCACTTTCGGTGTGGGTGCGTTGTACGTATGGGCAATTGGAATTCTGGCTGCTGGACAGTCCTCAACCATGACTGGTACTTATGCTGGACAGTTTGCTATGGAGGTACATTTCTAAGCGAATTGTGAGAGATTTTACCGTATTACAAATATTCATTTATTTAGGGCTTTGTACAAATCAAACTACCTCAGTGGAAACGAATACTTGTGACACGGTAAGTGACGTTATCAGTAAATGCTGCAAACAGTAGAGATGGGGGATGGGCCCTTGACGGCCTAAATGGGTCGCTCTAACGAAATGTTGCGTTGGTCCCATCCCTACCCAATTCTGTGATGGTCAGCGTGTTGCTCATGGCGGATGCTCGGGCGTGTCAAGGGGCTGGGCGTGGGGCGGAGCTAGGCCGTTTTCCACCAACTGTGTCTTTTGCTCGCTCTAACGATTGGTGGAGGACGGACTGGCGCCGCGCCACCCTCCCCCCCCACGACACACTCCGGCATCCACAGCGAACAAGCCTGCAGCTCAAATTCCCATTTTCTGATGTCTTCAGCTTCCGCCCCTTTACCTTACTATCGTAACTGTATTCAGTGAAGGAATCCAACATATTACGTGTATTGGAACCATTTCTTAATTCTTGTACAGGTTGGGGTCTAGCGGCCCATGATATTGTCAAAACTTGTATTTTCCCGAATAATGATTGTTTATAATTGATTCAACTTGCCATTGCTCATTAATACCTGTTGCGCACCGTTTTGTTGCGCGACGAAGAGCGGGGGCGGTTTGTAATTGGTATTAATTTCGGAAGAGCGTCGGGAGAGTTATATTCAGTTGAGTGATTTTTCTTTGGAGTTGGGAAAGCTGAACGAGACGAGGGGGTGGGTGTACGTGAGTGCGTTGAGTTTGGCTCAAACAACTTCTTCCGGGCGTCTCCTTTGTTCGGGGAGGCGGTGGGGTCGTTTTTGAGACAAAAATTTTAGTTCGATATTTGATTTCTGTGAAACTTTTTCGGCCGACTATCATACTCCATCGCTCACCGGCCATCGCGAAGACCTCGGAGTGTGGAGCGCAGGGGGAGGGGGGGTCTGCCTGAGACCGCATGTCGAAGGGGGGTGAGGTCGCGTACCGCACATCGGGGGGGTCGTACTCACACCGACATTTCGCACATCCCCATGCTGTACCCTGGAGCTAAATCGGCTGAAGGCCAGGGTGAGGCAGGAGTACATCAAATCGAAAAAGATGACTGTATCCAGCTTGTCTCCTCCAGCCTCCGCAGTAGTCTAAACACGACCCCATTTTCTAAACACTCTGTGGGACCCCTTCTCACCTCATCGATGAGAATCGCCAGCACACGGTGTGCCCCAGTCTTGAATAGCATGCAGATCGGCATATCTGCTTATTCTAGAGCCCTTTAAGATTCCCTAGACGTCTTACCGTATCCCTCTATAGCTTCTCCATTTCAGGTTTCAGAAAGCATTTGCGCTCACAACTTCTTTGTTGGTTCTGGCAATCAATTTCTTCTTCCTTTACGAGTTTGTGGACACCACGTTTGGCCTCAGTGCCATATCGATCTCTATCACCGCTGTCTTATCGGTGCTATACGTGTTGTCAATAATTTATTTGGTGAGTTCCCGTTCTATCAGAGGGACATTTCTCCTTTTTGGGCTCGCGACAACATGATCAACGAACAGTGGGGGAAGAGGGGGGGGTTAACGTTCTATTATACTGTCCTGCTGCGACGTCCTGAGTCTCATTGTTTGGAGCGGAAATGAGTGATCAGACAGCAATCCTCGAGCGATAACCAAAAACTTATTAGGAATGCTCACCATTCGGGATCTACTGTATCGGATATAGTCTTGCTCGCTGCGGATGCTGCAGCGCACGTTGCGCGGCGCAGCCCGTCCAAAGAGGGGAAAGCGACTGTGATATACCCCATATCCCAGAGCTGGAGAGTCCATGACTGCGTACTTCTTTTAAACGTGGTCAGGGCTGCGCTTTTGGAAGGATGTTGCAGTTTCAGAACAGTTGTAACCATGACTTTGCTCAGTACAACAAAGGACGAAACTTGTATCGAATAGAAATATCCCACGAATGCATCCTAGGCCATGTCCAAGTGAAATAGGCAGCCACGCCCATCCCATCGCTGGGATGTGCCGTGTATGTAGGTGGAAAACGTGCTGGCGCCCCGCCAAAGCCTTCCCTCTTATACGGTACAGTATCCGCCCCAAACAAGACTGTAACTCATCGTCAAAAGCTTCTTAAAGAGGCGACTCTTCGATCGCACATGTGTGGCATCCCGCATAAGGAGCGATCCTTCTGGCACATACCGAACCTAAAGGCACGCACCCAAACTTTTCTGCTATCTTTTGTAGTCAATACGCACCTTCATTCCTCCGATATGAAGCCCATGTTTCTGTGAAAAATGTGTTAATTCCACGTCTATATATTAACATTTTTCAGTTCTACTACTGCTTGGTTGCGATGGGCATAATGCGACGATTCGAATGGGTACGATTTTTTTGTGCTTCTTCAATATTTTTCCAATTTTCACAAACTGGTGAATTTCTGAATCAGCAAACTTGTTGAAAGCGCAACTTCCTCGCTTGACGATGAAATTCTGGTGAAATTCGGTGGGAGCACCGAAGTTAGCTTATGAAAAGGGGGGACGTACTGAGAGCCTCTTTCCATCCATTCCGATGCTGTTCCCTTTGCTAGACTCGTGGGATGAAAGAGGCCCTAATGAGCAGCTGCCTCCCCTCTCCCCCTCCCTTCTCCTCCGAAAACACTGTGAACGTTCAGGCACCCATCACGATTTAAAGACCAGGTCCACGTTGGTCGCATGGGCGGGGATAGCTAATTTTCTGTGTCTTTTTCGCGTCAATGACACGACTGATGCCTGTCTCCGCCCTTGTGATCAGGCGTGGACTAGGCCTTCAAGC